AAATTAAGGGACAAGGCTGAACTGGCTGAATTCTCATCAATATGCAACATTGGGAGAAACAAAAATCACACCAGAGATTTATTACACTGGATGTCCTTCAGCACATGACAGTGTGGCTTCATGTATTGAAATCATGTATATAATCAAAATACACACAGATCTGAAACCCTTATCCAAATTTTATCAGAAAGTAAATTTTTAAAATGCTGCTTGTTTCTTGCTGATTACAGTGAAATAAATCTAACAAGCTAAAGGGACTGATAAGTTATTTCAGTTGCAGCAAGATCTCATCTTATTCATGCATACACAGTCATAGATCTCATGTGGATCTTGTAGTTTAACCTCAACTGCCTTAATCCACTAGTATCAATGTCCAACATTCAAATACATATTTCAAAATTAAGTTCAATCACTATTACATTATATGCATCTTGATGTAATACTAGGAAGTCTATATGCAAGGGGGCAGGAGAAGATTTGGATAGGCTCAAGAAGCTTTTACAACAATACTTTCATGTTTTATTCCAAAAACACATAAAGTATGATCCCTCATCAGACAGGAGGTTTCCCTTCTACTTAGGCACTGAGATTTTATAAACTTCACTACCTCTCATCATTTGAATTTAATTAGAATACAAATTCAAGCATTATTAACACAGGACTTTAAGCTAAGATTCCCCAATGCCTTCAAGGAAACCTGAAAACAGGAACCCATGTTCACCAACAAAAATTAATACTTTCAAAAGCCTATCCAAGTATAGTGTATTCACAGCACATGTACAAGTAAAAAAAAAAGCTTGGCAGTATTCTGTCAACACTTCTTTCAAGTGGATTAAAAATATTGCAGAGTAGCACAGTTTGTTTGTTTTTTAACAAGATGATCCTTTAGTGAATGAGGGGGGGACATTAATTCTAAGTCTTTCTTTTCCTCCTCCAACTTCCTGCTTACGTACACTGATGGGCTCTCAAAGCACTAGTGGTGGAAAACATGTAACAACACGCGCCCATCATCAAGCTGTTTGAAGTTAAAAATAACCTAGCGATTTGCTGGGCAAGGTTTGCCTACACTGACGTCAATTCCACAACCAAGAGTCCTTGGTGAATACTCCAAATTCATGTACATTGTACAGGACATACATGTGCACTAACACAATCAACATCTTACAATTCCTTGAATGGATCATGTTCATGTGCTTCAAAAGACGGGGAGGGGGAGTAGTGGACGGCTCGTTATGTTTTTTAATTTTGTTCCCCTTGACTTGTAAAATATTTTCCTCACACTCGTTAAAAATTGCTTTGCATAGCACTCATGTAAATAATATGTAATCATCTTCAAGTCTTTGTACACGTGGGAACCATGTTCTACATTTAAACTAAATGTACATGTACCTGTACATGTACAGGTATGTAGCCAAAGAAATAGACCACACACACCTGGACACCTATAGACTTGACAGCAATTTTCTTGGGGTTACAAGTACATGTACCAAAGCAACCAATGCTCAGGTGCATTCATACCCAAGAAAAAACACCACTAACAAACCAAACCACAACTATCCCCTTTCTTTCTCCTGTGTTTTGTTGGTGAACCAACGGCATGTCAATTTATCTCCATGTATGCACACCTTAATCTTCAATTACACACTGTACATCTGTCAGTGGGAACAGGCAGGATTTGTTCCTCCTTGCAAATCTAATCAAAGGTCGGACCAGGCTGTCTTACCATGCAGGGAAAAAAAACACATGGAGCAAAATCATCAGGATTGCATTCTTTCCCCAGGAAGTAATAACTGGAGATTGTTGATTGACATGGTATAAGTTGTTAGACCATGGAGGAAGGAAAAACACAGCAAGAATACAGATTGTGGGTCTAGTCCCTGAATATAACATTCTACATCAAAGGTAAAACCATTAGTGTTTATAAACAGGTACTTTCAAGAATAAATGGGAAGGGGAAAGATACATTTATTTTTATCTACAGAATTAAAATCAAATCTTAAGAACAAGCATTATTAAGTACTACATTAAAATGGCCCTGTAAAAAGTATTAAAAGCACTGAACATCATTTTCAAACTTAGGTGATAAAGAGAAGGGGGTCATCTAATAATTATGAAACTACATGTAGTAGTGGAACGTTCACAGTATGGGAAAATTGCGAAAAGGATTCTCAATTCTAAAAATATTTTTTTGTTCATGAGTAACTACATGTACACTCAATCATCCTACATGTAGCATAAATGTACCAGTAGGTACAAATCTTGATATTGGGAAATAAGTAATTAAATCTCAGACATTTGTACTCAGTGAAGATACAATCCATGAAACAGGTGAAGACATGTACCGTATAATACATGAAATAGTCATTCTGTCATCCTCCCTTGAGAACCACTGTACATCCAAAGACATGACTTCATGTACCTGTCAACTGGTATCACATTAGTCATTCAAATTGGAGAACCACAAGCTGCAAGAATGCAATTACTCTTGGCAAATTTATAAAAACAACGGAATTCCCTGAAGGGAGATGGTGCAGCCTTGTGAGCTGATGAACAGGGATCTTCCCACATAAGAAAAGTCACTGTCCATTGCTACAGGTACGGGGTACCTATGTAAGACTTCTCAGCAACAACAACACATTGATGCTTTCTTAGCAAGCAGTATATTCTACATGTAAATAATGTGCAATTATACAATGTACCGGTATATTGACATTTACATAGATCCAAATTTGCTGGATGCATACAGCTGAACATGGGAGGGGGAACAGGGTTCCCCTTAGTGGTCGCCCGCTAGCCAAATGCGAGTGAAAACAGTCAGGAGCGAGTCAAAACACTTCCCTCAGTCGTCCGCCGGGCATGTTAAAATATGTACGCGTTCCTTGTTTTTCTGATGTGATTAAAGAAAATAAAACAATGTCTTGATTTCAAAGTTTTACCTTTGTCTGTCATGAATGTAACTTTATTTAATTGGAATCAAATAAACTCTAACATCGCTTCTGACTTGCACCTGGAATCCCGTATTGTGTGCTGGGACTACGTGTACACTGTACCTAGTACCTATCATCAACACATCAACGATAGTTTCTCCAGTAGTCAGTGACCTCTATACATGACCAATATAATTGACATACAATTCGTACTTGGAACCAGATACCAAAAACCGATACTGCGTCCATAGACTCGTGCAATACGGTTCGTAAGTGACTTCATTGTACCACTGATCGCAACGCTCTCATTGGACAATCATGCCGCGTGAGTGAGAAGGGAACGGGAACCAGTCTACCCACAAACTGCTATCACCCCATGTGATAGCGGTTGATAGAAACGTCTTGGTGGACCAACCTTCTTAAGTCAAAAACCTGCTTTAATTGTTATTTTTTTGTCACACATTTCATGGGCTAATAAAAATCTCTGCAAGCTAGTAAAAATCACAATTTACTAGCCCAGCAGGCTACTGTCAGAAAAAATGAAGGGCAAGCCCTAGGGAAGAAGTTGAGAGATGGGGGGGGGTTGTTAGTTGTGAAGCCTCTCTGGATATATTTGGAGACTACATGTACCATTGGTAGTACCGGTATCCCTTGAGATTTGATAAAACCGAGGGTGGTCTGAAAGTAGAAATGGTCCAAATACTACCCGGACAAGTGTAGCAATATGCTAATTTTGGTGGGATTTTGTTTCAGAGACAAATTTTCATACTTCATGAAGTTTGTCCCTCAATTTTTCTAAGCATTGTATGCATAGTACTTAAAGAACGAGAGAATAAATGGTCTAAACAATTTAATCATCAAACTTGCCAGGTTGGACGAGTCAATCTTTCATGAATGTGCAACGTTCCATTATCAGAGACAAGTGGCTACCATCAATATGCACAGGTACTTGTATACTACCCAGTCCATTTCCCTAACCACCAGGAATATCAGCACAAATTGTATGTTGTAAATCTCAAACCATGTACAGTCTGTATATTCCATACCAAGCAGATTGCAATAAACCTCAGCCGGATTACAGTCGAGCCCCCAGAGGAATCCATAAGGACAGATTCATACAGGTAAATGTACCAGTCTGTGTACATGTAAGTAGGCTGCAAAACATTGGCAGGGATTGTTGGGGACATTTACGCAAGCAACAAAGAGAAAAAGACATTGCATGTGATTGTGTAAGAGCAAGAATGAAGAGAATGGATATTGGATTCATCCTCCAGGGTTCACATTAACAACCAAAAATACAGTACGTCCCATTCTACATGTACATGGAGATAATTTTAAAGCCATTTTACAAATGTGTTTTAGAAGTATACATGTATGTAAGAGGAAAACTACAAGCACCTTGCTAAGACCTTGTGTCAGAAATAAATTACAAAAGAAGCATTTTGAGTTACGAAAAAAAGTTGAAATTAGAAAGACCCTTAATATATATTCTGGAAATATCGAAAGCTTTCACAAGGGACATCACGCTAAAAATGCAATCCAAGCCCTGGGGAAATTTTTCTAACTTTGAATTTGATAAGGAAATTTAAATTAGTGAAATTACATGTACTTTGTGGCTGACGCAGAGTCCGGTATCAAGAGAATTAAGCAGACAATAACATCCACAAACAACAGACTGATTTCTGTCTTTCATTTTGTTTTAATGGCCAATGTTTGATCATTGTTGGTATTTCTGCATTTTCAAAGGCAACCAACTCTGGGGAAAAAAATCAACCAGTTCAGAAAAGAGCACATACAGTACCGGCCCCTGTAACTTTGAGGTTTTTTGTGTATTTATCATGGAAATATTTCTACTTGTAACAAACATGTAGATTAGATGTCATATGAATACTGGCAGGAAAAGTCTGGTAAGTACATTGCACTTTGAATTTAGACAGTAATAACTGCGTCAGAAATAAGTCACCAGAAATGATCAAAATTTAAACTCCATGGATGTGATGTTAATTGTGACAGCACAGCTACATGTCTGACAGGATTGCCAAGGATCTAAATTTTGTAAAATCAATTCATGAAACAAAAAAGATTTGAAATTAGTGAAAACATTTTGGTATGCCTAAGGAAACTTTGTCTTGAATTCTGAGAATCCAATGTTTAGTTTTGTAGCTGAACAAAATCCTACACTTGTTAGATGAAACAAAATATTGTCAAATTCCCCCAAAGAAAACAATGGGGAAATTGCATGGGTTATAACACTACAGAAATTAACCCTAACCCTCCTCAATCCTTCACCTGTTGGAGGACTAAGGAGTGTTAGGGTTAAGAAAAAAAACTTACAAGTGTCTGCGTCACCAACACACATCAAGACTCAAGACAGAAGTTTTCATTAAGCTCAAAAATACACTGGCCTGCTTGACCAGAACATCTGAGGAAAACAAGGCAGGTGTGTAACTTGATGCCTTTGCTACCTGTACATGTATGCGAGCTAGCAAGAGTCAAGAGGGTCCTTGAAATTCTGTTGTGGCAATGGAACAATCTGTTTGGTATGTCTGACAGTGCTTGTTTACCTCACCTGCTTGTCTACCTTTCCCTACCAGTGTTCTGCTATCATTGGCTCAAATACATAACACAAAAAACTGCAACTGCGTGTACATGTAAATCGGCACGGTTAATGTCCCACATTAGCATGTCTATAACTACTCTAGTCAAAATCACCAGAAGAATTTTAACAGTAATTCTGATTGACAGCAGATTTCTTCAGCACGCCAACACAAATCAAACTGTTCAACAGCTCAAGCGATTTACAATTTCCATACCTCTCTGAAGAGCACTGCTTAAAACCCATCCCACACTTTCAGCTTTAAAACAATAACCAAACAACCAAGATAAATATAATACTTGCACCCTGATCTTTTAAAAAGGCCACATTAAGCATTCTGTATAGTCGTGCAACACCTCCAACCAGCTTCCTTAAAGCTTAGCTTGATACATGTACATGATAGAAGGGCCAATTCACAAGTGTAATCCTTGGCACTTGGCAGCAGTGAAATGCCACTGGCCAAATGGCAACCACGCAATAAAAGCATTCCATTCAAACCTTACTGTCAAACAAATGTCACATATGGACATGGCACATCTACCAGCATTACAAATGCACTGAACATACAAGTGTATTAGTAAAGAAAATGTTAATGCTTCTCACAAAGTAAGTCAGAAATATCACTTGCTAAGAGTGAAAGGCCCTTGGAAGGAAATAGTTTGCATCTCTGGTATCAAGAGGACTCATTAACATGTCTAGTCTCTTCATTTCCTCACTCTTATTCTGTAAAGACTTCAACTTGAATGACTTTGTTATGATGACAGTCAGAAAATGCTATTTACCATGTAAAATTGTTTAACCTTACATGTAGTGTAAGCAACAAATAAGGTCTAAAACTAATAAATGTGCGTGAAAGGTACTGCCTATAAAAACAGTCTGTTGCATGATGTGGAAACTACAGCATACTAAATTTCAGCAACATGCAACTGAACTCAACAAAATGAACCTTGAAGCATCTTTAACCCTAACCCTCTAGGCCTTTTTACCAGAAACCATCCTCAATCCTCCAAAGTCCTCCAAAATCCTCTGACTTTCAACATGAAAAAATTGCATTCAGCCTCAATCCTCCAAAATCCTCCAAAATTTCTTGAAAATGTTTTTTGGAGGTCTGCCTGCTGCCTCAATCCTTCAAAATCCTCCAGCAATTCCTGTCACTACAGTGCGAAGGGCGTTCTTGAGCAGTGCGGTTGATTCAAAGGAAATATTGGGCTGAATTTGTGCTTGACTAAGCAAAAACAATACAAGGTCTAATCCACGACCTTCACGCATGGCATCCTTCATAATCAGCCATGCACTTTTGCCATTCACCCTCAATCCTCCAAAATCCTCCAAAACCGCCCGAAGGATTTTGGAGGATTGAGGAGGGTTAGGGTTAAAGTAGTGCCGTTTTAGTTTGCATTAGAAACGGTAAACTGAAAACAAGACATTACGTAGTTGAAACAAGTTGAAGGTTCCTATCAATTTACAATGTACCAAGTAAGTTGCTGTGAATATTACACACCGTAATCAGCCAAACTTGTGAAATTACGACAAAAAGCCAATGGTGTTCACTACCTTAAAGTGACTCTGATGATTTATGACTCTGTCTGTCAGGACATATCACACATGACAATTGTTTGAAATTGATGACAACCAAGTCATATCCTACCTTCTGCCCCTTCCCCATTGATACCAGTGAAGAGTTTACGTTTCAGGGTCTTCCCCCCATCTCCTTTGGTTGCCATCGGAGACTTCACTCCTCCCTGCTTCTCCTGTCAAACGAGAATGAGTGACAGGTAATCAATGCTTTGTCGAAAGCCATAACACAAAAACATCAGCTTTGAAAGAGCTCCCAGCCCTTCTGAAAAATAGGGTCAAGTCTTCATTGATATTGATTACTTTATTAAAAAATGAATCAAAGATATTTAATACAAAACTGCTGCAAACTGCTTACTAACGACGGTGACCTAAACTACAAATCACAAAATATGGAGGGCCTGACGTTTTGATCCTAGCAGAATCTTTCTCAAAGGCAAAAAATGACTCAAAGAAAACTTTGCCACAGACAGGTAAACGCCATAAACATGACACATCAGTGTAAACCAACAGAAACTTGCAGGGGACTGGGTTCAAGATTAAACCTAAAATTCTACTTTCACCAATCCCCCCAAATACTGCAGGTGGGTTGGACGTCCCTTGTTATCCCTGGACTTATGCCCTTCTCACCTTCCGATGTGGGGAAGTCTTGTCAGCCATTCCTGAATACTGGACCATGTATCTCGCTCGTTGGAAGTAAGACGTGCTCACTTGTACAACAGCAAGAAGTGGTCAGATTATCAGGAGGTTGAGGTTCTCTTCCAAGGAGATGCTTGGATCATAACGGACACAGTCTCAAGTCTTCCATCTCGCAACTCAATAAGTGTCAATCCTGAATACACAGACGGAAGGAAACGGATGACATAGAATGACAAGTTTAATGATACCAGGTGTAATGCGGCTGCTACAGCAAGGACAGTAGATCTGATTGTAGATCTGCAAATCCAGCCTGAATTGATCAGTACCAAACAGCTGCTTTCAAACTGTCTACAGCGGAAATTCCAAGTAAGGTTTGTCTAGAGGGTCCCATCCCTAGTAAACATACCAATAAGAAACAATGTCTCTAATCACTATAAACTCTTGGCAACTAGGACAGATGATCATAAAACACCACCTTTCTATTGTCACATCACTGTTCTGAAATACAAGCAGCTGCTATGAATTTTTTCAAGTGCTAATACAATGATCTTGATAGACTCAAAATGTCAAGCATCCTACTGTGAATTCCTGAATTTATGATTTTTTTTAGACGCACATATACGTATAGAGCTACTCCCCTTTAACTTAAATAACAAAAATCACTAATCTGTACAAATACACATACTGTACATGTCCCAGTACATGCATGTATGGTGCTTCATCAGACACAAAAATATTAGAATTTCCTTACTGCAACAGAAATTGTAAGTACAACGGTGCTGCAGATGAAAAAATATGTAAGTGTAATATTTACTTGGTACGAGTGGTTTATTTGACCCTTAAAATAAAAATGCAACTTCTCTGAGCATGGTGGTCTTACTAAATTGACATGACAAGTTCTTTTCACTGAAGCAACTCCATGTGAAAGCTTGCCAACCACACAAAAAGGGTGAGTTCAATGCACTAGACAATTGACAAGTTCCAGGAAAAATGAAATCTGAATAGGGCCACAACACTGAATGGTCCTGGCAGTTCCTATATGTATCTTTAGGACTATTTCTATTTGAAAGGTCGACAATATCCTTAAAGTAAAAGTACATGTCCGTACAAAGTGTACCGGTTAATGTTACTTTTTCTTTGTACTGGTACATCCTGGTTTATACTACAGGAGCATATACAAGTACATGTACTAGTAAATGAATTTACAAAACATAACAGACAACCTCAGAAAAAAAGAAACCTTAAACTTAAACTTGACATTTATCTTCATCTCTATTTTGGTAACTGATCAAATTATACAGACAGATATGCTTGACGAACATCACGCCAGAATAGCTTCAGGGCAGGATATACAATTTGCTCAAATTTCTAAACGTTGATCTTTCACTGTACAAATATCTGATAAATATGACAATACTTCAACATTAAACGGAGAAAAAAAATCTTGCATTCTAACTGTCAAGAACTTTCCCGCTATGAGACAAGGATAAGATGGATTTAAAGCTTCTACCGTACCCTCTCCTTGGATGATATCTGATAGGGATGGATTCTATTTTAGCTCAAGATTTGTCCTCCAGGAAGGAAAGATTACCGAGTCAACAATACCGCTACCTTGTATTCCATTTCAAAATCTTTTTATTTTTTATCCTGCATGAGGGACAGATGCAAGCAAGGGTTGACAGAGCTCTTATCCTCTACAAAGCCCTTCACAAAAGATACTTCTGAAAGCACTAACTCTGTGCATGAACATTACTCAATTATAGACGCCAAGTTTGTTTACTACCAGTATATCGCATGCAATATGGGTACACACTCATATAAATGGTACATGTACATCGCTGTATGCTTCCCAGGTAAAGTGACTTATTGAATGTACATCTACGGTAAACACGGATCTTTGTACATGTACATGTATATCCAAGAATTATTTGAATGTAATTTCTACACTGAAACCAGCAAGATTTCCATGCAATCCTTACAACAAATAAAGATGCTCCTTTTATGTCACAAAGTCTGCCACTAAACTTCAAGCTCGAGGGTGTAACCTACTGATATTTGGGCCAGCAGTTTTAAAAGTAGACATATATACTGAACCATACTAGGAATTTATAAAGTTCCCAGTTTGTTAAACCAAATTTGGTAAATCCAACATTCATCTACAATGCATTTAAGTGTCACTGTTGATATTTTATTCTATTTATGCATTTATTTTTACAAGGTTATCATTTTTTTTAAGAAGTCAAAACGCTTTCACTTCCACTTGTTCAGTAAGCCCAACAATCTGACACCGTGGGCAGACTGAGGTAAACCAAGCAAAAATTAAAAACACTTAGCTCAGTGGTACCCAGTTACCTACAAATGCAACATAAGGCCTCAACTTCCAAACATTCCATGGCACAAAACCACCAAAAATGTACTGACCTCAACCCATTGACAGATGAAAACCTACAACATTTGAGGGGATGTACATATACATGTACTTAATCCATACTCCAATTATAACCACATTCTAAAAATACCGGGAGAGTGGTAAAAAAAATTTCTAGACATGTGAGCAAGCTGAGAGAAACTGGAATGCACTTGACCTCTTCCTGACCCTAATTATGCCAAACCCAAGAGGTCACCAGACCCAAGTGACCTCAATCCTGTTCTGAAAAGATCAGAGTGATTAGATTTCCTGTTGAGCTCAGATAAGAAGTTTTTGGAAAGGGATGATTGCTAGACTGAACTTTAATCTTCTTGAAATAGCTCTATTTTGGTAACAAACAAATTTGGTTACAAACACAGTGGTGACTGGTGTTGCCAACCAATTGTGAACTGTCTATAATGTTGAGTATTTACATGTAATGATTAACGTGTGATGTGAAGATTAACCGTAACCCTCCCATATCTTCCAAAATCCTTTTCTGCAAAGTGGAGGAATTTGGAGGATTTTGTACAGCAAAAGTGCATGGCTAATTCTGAAGGATGCCATATGTAAAGGTCGTGGATTAGACCTTACATGTATGTTGTTTGTGCTTAGTCAAGCACAAATTCAGCCCGATATTTCTTTTGAATCACCTGCACAGTTCAAGAGTGCCATTCACACTGCCTCAACATAATGACAGGAATTGCCAGAGGATTTTGAGGGATTTTGGTGGATATGGGCTGAATGCAATTTTTTCATTCTGAAAATCTGAGAATTTCAGAGGATTCAGGATGGCTCCCAGTAAAAAGGACCCAGGGAGTTTGGGTTAAAATACAAATGCACACATACATGTACTTAATTACAATGTACATTTGAACATGTATGATGCATGTACATGTATGCTATAGGCCTTAAACAACACAGTGACTGACAGGACCATCTGAAAGATAACACAGGGCAGGAAATGTTAATACTTAATGTACCGGTACCTGTATCTCAAGACTAGCTCATTTCAGATCTTTGGCAGGAAAGAAATAACATGCACAAGTACTACCGCTCTGACCTGGCCAAAAGACGTGGTGTACACTCATATCAACGACAAGACAGAGTAAAAGAAAAAAGAGAATAATAACAATGGTGAGAATGATGATGTGCTCCAAGTATGAATGACATGCACAAAACACTGCCAACACAGATCCCATATTAACTGAGGGTTATGCATCTCTGCTCCTGACCTCACATACCAACACCAAGAAAGGTCAAAGAAACAAATAGCTGACCGATTCATTCAAGGGTGCATTCACTAACCACCAACAGTATCAGAAATTGTCACCAACATACACAATAATTGAATTCACCTGCTGACCTTACAAACCTGCTTAGACTTCTGGAGTTTAACACTGTTCTAATGTCCACTTTGTTTTGTTTTCAAGTACATGTACTTGTAACTGAAAAGGTGATGATGTACCATACCCGTACCCGTATGTACCATAAGAGGATGTACATATACTGGTATGTAAAAGATGATGCTTACATGTAGCATCTTATTGCATAGAGTGATTTCAAATCTAATGGACGGAGGTTTAAAACTATCGGTACAGGTACTTTCTCAAACAGAACAAATGTCTGATAGCATGATTTTTACCAAAGGAAATGATTTTACCAATTTTATCATGCTGTAAATATCTAACAGTATTAACCATGTTGTCAAGATTGTCCATATAAGTCAACTCTTTAAAACTTGGTGATCATACTTTCATATCCATGTATGAGCTAACTGTACATGTACATGTACTATGACTTCAAATCGAATCACGCCTCGACTGTACATGTACATGTAAGATGTTGAGGAAATCTACCAATAAACTGGAACCCCACACCACCTCATCACAGCAGTAATAGTTACTAGTAAATGTACCAGTATGATACAATGACGGAACAGCTGCAAAAAAAAAAGAAAGGAAGTAGTGGTACTTATGTTTAACAAAAGGTCTACAGCAGCACTACACATGTTTGGTTCCACACGTGTACATGTACATGTACATGTACACATTAGTCTGATTCAAAAACCACACCCTTTTCAACATGTACATTATACCACACACCTTCATGTACTGGTACTCGTATGTGTTACGCTGGGTACCAGTACATGTAGGTACCGGTAGTTAATGTAATATGTTTGGGTTCTCCATAAACACAGATGTTGCAACCAGAAGTTATCTTTATTTCCAGGCTTTGATCTCTTGCCAAGTTTTTGTGACCATGGTACCTCTAATTTTTTGATAACCTAGCACATGATTATAAGCTTTCAAAATAGAAAGAAGTCTTGAGTACGAAGCCAAATTTCCGGGTGGCTTTTCATATTTAACGGATGTGTCAATCTACATTGTTTTTCCTTCTAGGAATCCTTATGCACAGATCTATATCACAGTTCCTCGATTCAATTCAATAATGCTCATTAGGCATGTCTGTTTGGTGAAAACACACATTTTGGAATTATGCTTAAAGTGACTCATTCTACAAAGTACACAAAGCTGTCATGAACCGTAATTCTATACTTGGCCAGCATGTTTTTATGGATTATGAACAAACTGGCATACTGGTAAAGAACTTGAAAGGGTTGGAGGGCAGAATATACATGTAAATGAAAAGTTAAGCTTACCTTTTTAGCATACATGTATATATACAGTACAAACCCATTAGACATGTACATATAGGTACATATAGGTACACTCCACCGGTACTTTCAACAGGAGCAATGACAAGGCAAGTGGTTATCAGCCATA